ACATATCTTCCAAGTTTTCAGTCTTTTAGTTTGAGATATTTTTTGCTATATGGACAAATTTGAATGTAGTCATATCTATTAATCTTTTTCTTAATGGTATCTGCCTTTGAGTTATTGGAAAGATTTTCCTCAATTCAGGATTATTTTCAAAAAGTCACTTATATGTTTTTTCAGTAATTACATGATTTTACTTTTATCATTAAATGTTTAAATTTATTTGAATTTCTTTTCCAAATTCCTAATTTCTACTAATTTGAAGTGTACTTTTCTTATATTTTAAAATGTTTAATCATTTTTATTAGCTAGTTTCCTTATATGGAAAAGGTAATACATGTAGTAATAGCAAAAAAAATTTTTTTTTCCAACAGTGCAAGAGGGTTATTTCAAATCTCTCTGACCTTTTTTAGTTACAGGAGTTTCTTGTTCATACAGTACATTTCTAGAGAGACTAGCATACCTTCTTAAATTCTGTTTTATTGATTTGTCTATCTAGTCATGGTTCTTTCTATTCCTAAATTAAACTCACCCCTAATTGCTCTTCTTTTACAGAATTTTCCTGGCAGTTTGTCTAATGGATTATCAAGGGAAAGTTAGAGACATTTAGAAGCCACTGTCAGAAACTGGATCTTTGCCTAATTGGTTTTTCTTACATTAAGATTTTTTAGGAGAAAGAAAGAAAGAGCTTTGGTAAACGTTTTTGTAAGAAAAACTTTTAAAAAAAAAAGTAAATTTGCAGGTAAAACAAATGAATAGAGAGGCTTAAACTGAGGTTTGTTATATCTTGAAAACAATTTAGCAAACAGGAAGTTTCACAATTCTTAATTAAGTCACATGAGGATAACAGCACAATTAGTGGGTTAGGTTGATTTAAAAGGCTAATGAACCTTTTCTGTTAACTACCTCTCTTTTCAGATATTTTTAGGCAGGTGGTTAGTTTCATTTCTGCTTGGTTCTAGAGATTTCACTGAGTTGATGAGGATTTGAAAAACAATGTTGATTTGGGGAAATGTGATTGTAGTTATCTCTAGAAGACTTTGAGGTCGATTGCACTGCTGTATGACCATGTATGCTCTATGTTGAACTGAGTATTTTGTGTGTGTAGAAATGTTTTGTGTGTGTTTTGTTTTGTTTCTCTACATAGATAATACAGCAAATTCCTATGCCTAGTAAAACCAGACTCTCTGAGATTACTAATAACCTCTAGTTGTGATTATTTACTGACTTTTTTTAGTTCTTCATCTACTCGTCTTCTCTCAATTTAAGGACAGGCTAAAATTTTAGCCATGCAATTTTCAAATTATATAACCTCTCTTCCAGTAAATTGGGTAAAATATTGTGTACCTCAGAGGACTGTCATAGGGTTAAATTAAATAGTATACTTGGAAGCGCCTGATATATATCAGTTATAAACTTGTAGGCCCTACCATGTTCCCGCTCAGTAAATAGACCAAACTATCTTCAACATCTAGTAGCAACTCTTTTAGTTTTACTTCATTAATTATACTTTCTCTTTTTTGTACTCCTCTACTAGCTCCTCTTCATCATCATTTAAACATGCTCAAGTTTTTTAATCATTAAAAAAAAAAAAAAGACTGCTATCTCCCACACTGTCCCCAACCAAGTCCCTGCAACAGGCATCTCCTTTTTCCTCCTCATGGCCAATTATTTTGCAAAATGTTGCTCAGTTTAGGTTTGTCTGATGTTTCCTTATGATTTGGTTGAAATGATGCATTTTTAGCAAGATTAATATAAAAGTGATGTTGTGCCCATCTCAGGGTATCATATTAGAAGTCTGGTATGTGAGATTGATATAGCTCATTACTGGTCACATCGACTTTGATCACTTGGTTAATTAAGGTGGTATCTGCTAGGTTTCTGCAGTGTTGTATTATTTTTCACTTTGTCATTTTAAAATATTTTGTAAGGAGATACTTTGAGTATATACAAATGTCCTGTTTCTCATCATACACTTACCCACTAATTTGTCATCCATTTTGGATTCTTGACTACAACAGTTATTACTATGGTGTTTGTGAAATTGATGATTTTCTATTTCTATCATTCTTCAGTAGTAGAGATTCTTAAATTGAGGTCTCTGCTCTATACCTACATCTGTATGCATCTGATTGTGGAGAAAAGTTGCAGCATTGACCAGATTTTCAAGAGATCATCAAATGGTGTTATCTTTTTTCCATCTATCCCTACTTTTTCAACTTTGTGGTCATAGTATTGCCATTGGAGTAGATGGAAAGAAAACCTTGTGTATTTGGCTTCTGTTTTTGATCTGTCTACATAGCTTATTTTGAATTCCTTTGAAGAGTTTCAGTTGACAGCAGACCACAGTATACCTGAGGTGAATGAAAGTGGAACTGCAGTGTTTGTTGTCCTGTGTTGTCAAGACTTTGCTTTTTGTGGCCCATAGGTGGTGAACCATTACATTTTGAACTGTATATTTCTAGTTTTACCTCAAAGAATGTGTGTTTTCATCCCTATGGAGTTTTTAAAAAGTCAAATACAGTATTTAGTCTGTCTTATAAGTAAGATTGCTAAAAGTTTTAGATTTTTAAAAATAATATTACCTTAGGTTATGATAACAATTTCTTTTTTGTTCTGAGCTATGCTTTCTTGAAGTAAATATATTATTGTGAACAAAAGCTTAATGGAAACCTTAACTGAAACATGAATTTTTATAAGAAGTAGTTTGTATTCTTGCTTTGTCGCCCAGGCTGGAGTGAAGGGGGTTGATCTTGGCTCATTGCAACCTCTGTCTCCTGGGTTCCAGTGATTCTCCTGCCTCAGCCTCCCACGTAGCTAGGATTACAGGTGCCTGCCACCACAGCCAGCTAATTTTTGTAATCTTAGTAGAGACGAGGTTTCACCATGTTGGCCAGGCTGGTCTTGAACTCCTGACCTTGTGATCCACCCTCCTCAGCCTTCCAAAATGCTGAGATTACAGGTGTGAGCCACCGAGCCCGGCCAATATTTTGACTTTTAATATCCCAGAAACTATTTCTATGGCTTTGTCCTTTATACAGCTACCAAAAATGAGATTTTTTTTTTTTTTTTTTTTTTTAGGAACTACTAAGTCACTTCTACCTATGCTTTTTTTTTTTTTTTTAAATCTTCTAGAAGAAGATGGCTACTCTGGTAGAAGAGAATTAAAATATTGCAGTAGTGATATATTTGAAGGATTATTCATGAATTGATCTTATTCTTGAAATGGATGATTCTCTTGAGTCTAATATAGCTTTCATGAAGTTTATCATTTTACAACATTATATAGATACTTGAAATAAACTAAGCTCTACTATACAGTGCAAAATTCAACAGTTTATTAAAATAGGATAGTATGCAAGCTTGATTAAGCAATGCCTCTTTTCTACACTTGGAAAATCAGTACATTGCTACTGCAGAAATTTATTTGGATATTAAGTCTTAAAAAAATAGAGATATGTTTTCCCCTCATCAAACATTTAGATCTTTTTTTGGATAATTACTATAGGGAAAATTAAATTTTAAGTGAGGAGTCAGTATAAGTAAAGACACAGAGATTTGTCCGGTAAAGCAGTATGGTGTGTACATGTGTAGAAGGGGATAGCCAGTTTATTGTCACAGAAATACCACATGTGAGGCAACTAATGTCAGGAGATGGTGTTGGAGAGATAGGTAGATGCCGCATTGTGATAGGCTAATATGCCAAATTAAGGAGCTTGGACTATTGGGAGGCAATCTGAGGGTAAGGAGAGCCTGAACTAGGGAAGGGGTAGAAAGGGATAAGTTCAAGAAACATCGAGAGCTCTGGCATGGGTAAATGGTGCTCACACCTCAGATAGAAAATAAAGAAGAGAAGCAGGTTTGGAGCAAATGGATATTTTCAGTGCTGTACAAGGGACCTGAAGTGCTTATGGTGTCTGAGGGACCCCATATGAGGTACTAATGAGACTACATGGTTCTGAAACTTAGGGGAGTGTCAGAACCCCAAGATTCTGGGGGGTCATTAGCATAAAGGTGATAGTTGGAACTATGTGATTGAGTAAGATTTTCAGGGAGGTCCTAATAGGGTAAGAAGAGCTGTGTGTTAAGGATGTAATTCTGGGCATCACCCACATTTAATGGACAGGCAGAGAAGACAAAACAGTTTTCCTAGGACAATGCAGTGCCATGGAGACTAATGAAGGCGATTTTTAAGGAGGCGAATAACAATATAAATTTAGCACCATTAATCCTCTGTGGTTGAATGTGCAGAAGAAACATGACTGAGGTTTTCCTTTTTTAGCAGAACATGAAGGATTTTGACGAAAAGTAGTTTTCTATGTTATTAAGGACCCATAGTTTAAGGAAAATTTTTTTTCATATCTATAGTAATTTTTAAATTACAGTTTACTTTATTTCCTACTTTTCTCCATTACTGATTTTCTTAAAATTTATTGGAAGACCTAAGTCAGTCTGCTATTGGCCAATGTAAAATCTGACTCTTTTTCTGTTTCTAAGCGTGTAATGTTGTCAGCATCGAGCATCACACTAAACCTCTATTTTGATGATGACTTATGTTTACAAATGTTACAGTCTCCAAGCCTTCTCACCTAGCTTTTTGATCCTCACAAGAAGCTTGTGAGATAGGTAGGACAGATAACTATCTTCATTTTTCTTTTCCAGTTGTGGAATCTGTACCCTTGTTTAATTATGTTCTTTGTTCATAGATAGCTGTTAGTTTCTTATTTCATTGGGTATATAATCTAAAATGTTAAGGCTAAAAGGAACTTCAGAGATCCTCTTTTTCAATATCTTTATTTTAAAAATGAATAAACAGGCCCAAAGAGGAAAAATCACTTTCCTAAGATCATAGAGGCAGAAAAAGCAAAACAAGATCTAGAACTCAGCTTTATTGATTTCTGGTCCCTATAACAAGAACTGAAATTTAAATTTGCTTTACAAGTAATGTTAGGCCAAGCTCTGCAACTTCAGTATTCTCATTTTGCTTTTATGTTTCTTGGAAATAGTGTGCAGTTCGTGCAGCCACAGAAGGCAGAACCCTCATTTTGGAAGGTTTGGAAAAGGCAGAGAGGAATGTTTTGCCTGTTTTGAACAACTTGCTGGAAAACAGAGAGATGCAGCTTGAAGATGGACGCTTCCTGATGTCTGCTGAGCGTTACGACAAACTTCTCCAAGTAAGAGAAGAAAATCCCACTGTTTTGTCTTTTCTGTCAAGCTGTGGGCAGTGCCATTTTATTGTATAGGACATGGCCCTATTGGAATCAGGACAGATGTTCGGATGACCCTTATCTTGGGTAAATTGCTGAAGTCATGAGTTTACAGTTTTACAATGCTCTTCTGTTTGTAGACCTTGTCAAAAGACCTCCCAGATTTTTACTGTCTTTTTTTTCTGGTTAGTCTAATAACTATTCTCTTTTCCTTTTTAATTTTTTTTTCCTATTTTTTCTTCTTCTCTTTCTTCCTCTTTTCCCATCTCGTTTTTTCCCCCTTCTTTCTTTCTCTTAACAACTATTTATTAAAAGGCTAATGACTTCTAGATAGTGCTAGTCACCAGATACAAAGCTAAAGAAAGTCCAGTTCTTAGCTTCAGGAAGCTCAAGGTCCAGTAGGTATTGACAGAAATGAATAAAATATTGAAAGGATATCCTATTCTGATGACCCAAGCCACCAGCATCACATGCTGGGGTTGCTGTAGGAGCCTCCTAACTGTACTCCCTGCTTCCGTCCTTCCTTCCTGACACTTCTCAACACAGCAGTCAGTGATCGCCTTAACAATGCATCCATCTGGGGGCATTCCTATGCTCTAACCTTGATGGCTTCTTGTTCCACTCAGAGTAAAATTCAAAGTTTTTACAATGCAGTACAGCACCCTTTGTTGTCTGCTTCCCTCTACTAGAATATAAGTTTCACAAGGGCAGGAACTTTTGTAACTGGTATTATCTCAAGTTCCTAGATCAATGCCTGGCACATGGTAGTTGCTCAATAACTATTTGTTGAATGAATGAATAAGTACCATGGAATGATTAAATGCTGTGATAAACATACATATAAAGAGTACAACAACTGGGGAATGTGGGGACTCTTCAAAGACTTGGGAGATGGGTTCATGTAATGTCACAAATGACAAGAAGACATTTAGCCCTTGTTCATCCAGCTCAAGCGGTACCACGCTGGATCTCTGTGTGGTTAACCCAGCCTTCTATGACTGACTGCTCTGCCTGTACATTCTAGGACCTAGAGTCTCTCTCATACCTGTTCTGTACATATGTGCTACCTTACTACCCCAGGATGGTTGCAAATTGATCAGGAGCAGGATCTGTGTCTCATACTTCTTGATCTTGCTCCCAGGGTGCTAATATGAGCCCAGAACACACCAGGCCCTAAATAATGAATGTCAACGCCAGAGGGTTTGATTGCACTGATGCTGCGTGGCTGGCAGGGCCAGAAGCAGTCTGTTTCTTTATTATTTGTGGGAGTTTCTAGATGATGCTTTCTTGTGAAGTACAGTCATTTTCCTCTGGATCTATTCATGGAGCATCTCGTTCTGATATAATCAAAAGGAGATAATCAAGGATTTAATCAAGTAGAAAAAATTAAATCCATTTATTCATATTGTTAATTTACCAAAATGAAAGCTTTTTAATTTATTTTTTAAAAGGCTGTTATGCAGAATGTTTTCTCTTTAGATGCTTTCTAATTACAAAATAACTACTTGCTACTAGAGATTATATTAGTGTTCACCATTTTTATTAAATAATTTGGAAAAAAAATACTCAGAATATGGAATTTTTTTTTAAAGTATAGGAGTTACTTCACAACAAAAAGTTTGATATATTCTTTATTCTTATAGTAGATTCTGTGCAAAGTTATTGAACATATTACTTTGAATAGAAATTCATGATATGTGAGTCAAAAGAGGTTTAGTGACTGGGTGCGGTGGCTCATGCCTGTAACCCTAGCACTTTGGGAGGCTAAGGCGGGCAAATCACCTGAGGTCAGGAGTTCAAGATCAGCCTGGTCAACATGGTGAAACCTCGTCTCTGCTAAAAATACAAAAATTAGCTGGGTGTGGTGGCATGCACCTGTAATCCCAGCTACTTAGGAGGCTGAGGCAGGAGAATCGCTTGAACCCGGGAGGCTGAGGTTGTGGTAAGCCAAGATCGTACAACTGCACCCCAGCCTGGGTGAGGGAGCGAGACTCTGTCAAAAAAAAAAAAAGGGGGGGTTTAGTACGCAAAGAATGCTTATTATTAAGTGAGAAGGGTCTACTACATTTTTCTCCCAAAGTAAATATCAGTATAAACACATAATTTTTTATTGGTAAATGTTATTTCTGTGTTCATAGAATCTGTCTCATAAGAACCTCACAGCATATAGGCAAAAAGCACTATCATCTTACGACAACTTTTATGCTAAAAAGATTCTAACACCATAACGTAAGCCCCATTTATTTCTAGGTAGCTTTGATATTCTAAATTTAATATCTCAAAAATGTTACTGGTTTCATAAAGGTGATTATAGTAGAATTCTGTTATTATGGAAAGAGATACAAAGTTCAGTTTGTATGAACTTTATATTTTATTTAACATTTTTGGGTAAATGAAAAAGAGAAATATTTAGTCAGCTCTCTGAAGTTTCTACTTTTGGTTTCTCAGACAGGGCTAGATCTAGACTCTCACTTTCTAGTGTCTATAACATAGTGTCAGTGTATTAATTAGATGTATGATTGCTGATTTTGATTCATACCAAAATATGATTGAAATAATTATTTATTATTTTTAAAATTAATTCATGCAGTCAGTCAACAGACATTTGTCCTGTTATACACTAGAGGTAATAAGTCCTGTCAGGAGTGTGGAGCTAGCATGAGACAGTCATGTATAGAAGCAAATGCACAAATAAATAATGACAGAAGCTTGCCTAAGATAAAGTAAAAGGGTACAAAAATGGTTCTGATGAGGGAAGGGGATCTGAGTTTTATGAAGATGTTTTTTGTGTTGAGCTTTGACTGACCCTTGTGTTTATGCTGTGCAAAGTGAAAAGGGTGTTGTTCCAAGAAGATGGAGTCATGTTGGTGAAGCAGCCTCATGTGTTTGGAGAGGTGCAGATGGGAGACAGATTGGAGCACAGGGTCATGGAAGGAGGGTCAAGGGGACGGGCGTGCACTGGTTGCTGAGACTGAGAGAATCAGAGCTTCTGCCAGGAAAGGCCTTGAGTGCCTTCTTAAGAGTTTCTATATTGTCATTTGGGCAGTGAAGAGTTGCTGAAAGATGTGGACGTTTCTCTCAGAATGTACAAATGTGCATTCGTACAAACTTAGTCAATACCGTAGATCCTGCTGCTGAAGAATGTGAGGAGCCATTGATAGAGTTAGGCAGAGAAGGAAGGAAATGAGATGTAACAGGTGCCTGCTATGGGCCACTTGTTTGCACATACATTTTCACATTTAGTTTTCCTAGCAGTCACAATAATGTAGGTGGTATTTTTCCTACTGAGAAGACTAGGCTAAGGTTCCAAAGGTATAATGACATGCATGTGCTAACATTTAGTAAAAGTATACATCAAGCAGTTGAGCCAGGATTTGTGACTCCAAAACCCGTACTGTTTCTGTTCTCTAAGCTCCACTAGATACTAGTTGCAGGACCATGGGACAAGTTATATAACTCCTTTGAACTTTAGTTCATTCATTCATGTAAAAAGAAGATTGTCTATATTGGATTCTGGTGAAAGTTAAATGAGAAAAATCCATGGAATGTGCTTACCACATAGTAAGTTTCCAAAACATGTTATTACGGATAATATGCCTTGCTAGGAATACCCATAAACATAATTATCTATTTAAGGTCCACTGGTAATCAATCACAGCTCTGCTGGTGACCTGCCCATCAGGGACTACCTTTGTTACAACCTCTAGTCATGTATTTTCCTTACCGCCTACTCTTTTCCTCTGTGTTACTGACTAAGGCTTGGAGATCTGACCCAAGTCTCCTTTATTCCTTGGTGTGTTAACTGCTTTCCCTTCAAACACCCCACTCTTCATGTTGTGAGACTGCCCTGGCATCCTGAACCTGATTTCACTTTGCTGCCTTCCTTGACAGTTTGGTTTTGAGAGTGTTCTCCTATACAGTTTTCTCAACAGTCAAGTCCTAAGTCCCTGGACTTGGCAGCTCTTATAGTTATGATCTGTATCATTTATGCTATAGCTTCTGGATCTCTTACTTTTATAGGATCATACCAAAAAAGAATTGGATTCTTGGAACATTGTCCGAGTTAGTGAAAATTTCCGAGTAATCGCCTTGGGCTTGCCAGTGCCAAGGTATTCTGGGAATCCATTAGATCCCCCTCTTCGTTCTCGATTTCAAGCCAGGGATATTTATTATTTACCTTTCAAGGTAAGTATGACCAAGGATAATTTATTTTTTAAACAGTTTTTCTATTTATAACAAGAAATTCAATGCTATAAAAATGTTACTGCATTTTTAAATGTCTTCCTCAGTAGGTCATGGAAAGATATGAGAATAAAGAGTAAAGAAAATCTCTGGAAACTAGGAAGAAAAATTATTACGGCATTATTTGAAGGATTTTTTAAAAGGCTGGCTTTTCTTTTAGAAAATGAAATGTATCAATAAATGATTTTTTGCTGTTAAATATTTAGTGTCTGCTTAATTAAAAGGTTGATTGTGTCTATAAAACATTTGCACTTAATCCATTACATTTCTTTTTAATTAATTTAATATGTTTCTATATTACTTTAGGACCAACTTAAGTTGTTATATTCAATTGGAGCCAATGTTTCTGCTGAGAAGTAAGTATATTTTTATAAATATCTGGACACTGAATATTGAATTTGTTTTGTCTGTTCATTGATTGATTAATTGATTGATTCATTCAACAACTGGAATTCTTACAAGAATTTTTCAGTATTAGAATGTTTGGTGATAAAATTAATAAGATATCTTTGGCGAGAAACTCAAGATCTAATAGAGTTGAAAGATATGTGAATAGCTTTGTTAACATGGTATAGTAAGTGCCATAATTTCAAAATATTGGGGGTATTAGTTGAGATTCTATAAGGGCTTCACAAAAGCATTGGCGTTTGAAATGGGTCCTAAATAATGAGCAAGTTTTTGGCAGATAGAGAATGGAATCAAGGAATTTGGACAGAATAAGTTTTTATTTTTTTTAAGCATGGAATGTGAGAGTTTATGCCTTGTTCTTAGGGCCATAAAAAAACTCTTGAACGGCTAGAGTTTAGGTTTGGGGTTACGAAATGTGAGAGATGAGGCTGTCAGGGTAGATTTGGACCAGGTGGTGAGAAACCTCAAATATTGTGATAAATTTAGGAATATATTTGCATCTAATCAGCTTCTGAGTTTTAAGTAGGATATTATGATGCGGAGCCATTGTCCCTTAAGAATTAATATTAGGGCTCATCTTTTTAGATTAATTAAATTGGCCCCTGTGTTTTATATTTAACAGACTTACACATTTTATGTTTTAAAACTATTACAATTTAATATCATTTTTCCCCTAGAGTTTCTCAGCTCTTGTCCTTTGCTACAACTCTGTGTTCCCAAGAATCTTCTACTCTTGGACTTCCAGATTTTCCTTTAGACAGTTTAGCAGCTGCAGTTCAAATCTTGGTAAGTAAAATGAATTAACGACTGGCATACCCAAATATGTTAAAAATTTTGAAAGTTAATCATTAGGGATTAATGACTTCAGTTTGCTTTTGTCATACTCTTCTATAAATATTGTAAAACCTGAGATTAATTTGTTGTGCAGTGCAGTAAACTGTACAGAGACCAAGGACATGTTCTGAGCCCCTAAAGAGCTTTCAGCTTTGGAGTGGGAGCTAGACATGCAATCTCAGTGTAGTCCTACAGAGGAAAGGAAGGCTTTAGCCTGGTCAAGTAAAAGGTGTGCTGCAGTGTGAGTTAGGCCTCAGAGCTGTCCTTACCTGAGTTAGGGGAGCTAGGGCTTTCACACTGCTCTAGCTCCCATCAGTCTCTGTGTCATGATTGTCTCAGGGGACACAAATTCCCAGATACTAACTGCTCTCCCAGCATGTGTGCAAGAGTGGCTTCAAGAGCCCAAGGATGTCTCTTAGAAAGACCTACAGCAGTTGCTGTTAGAAGAGAAAGCTAGGAAGCACAAGAGAGAACACAAACAGATCTGAGGGGATCTGATAGAGTACAGACATTGTGCACTACAGTTTCACAAAGGGCATGGCGGTCATGTCTGGAGTGATAGAAATGCCTTCCAGGCAAGAAGTCAAAGCACAGGCAAATGTGTTTAATCACAAAAGGGCCTAGTATCTTTGGAGAATGAGAATAAGTTGTATCCCTAAAGCAAGTGTGTGTGGTAGAGGGAGAAGTTAGAATGCTATCGTGAAATGTTTTGTATGATGAATGAAGTTTCCTGGATTTTATGATGTGGAAAAAGTGGCTTATCAGACAATATTAAGTAGGTGGGCTATGAAGGTGACCAGACTTATGCTGGAGGAAGACACCTTTGTTGGCAGTGAGGGAATGACTAGGAAACTTTTTTAACACTCAGTGAGACCCTGTGGAAGAGGGCACCATCCAAGATAGTGGGGATACCATCTTAGGCAAGAGACTTATTTTTAAACTTTAATGAATGCATGTATGTATGTATGTATGTATGTATGTATGTATGTTTCCTGTGAGTCAGGGAGCCTAGGTATTGCTGACATTGTTCTTTACATCCAGAACAGAATTTCTCCTCCTGTTTATTAAATCTTATACTTTTATTGAATCTTTTTGTTTTTGCTTAGAACATTTTATTTTGAAAATTCTCAAATGTAAAAAAAAAGTTGAAAAATAGTAATTTCATAATCCCCTCACCTACAATCACCCATTATTAATATATTGCTACATTTGTTTGCATGTGCTTTTTTCTTTCCTTTTTTTTTCCTGAACCATTTGGAAGTAAATTGCAGTCAGTACTCTTAAATACTTCAGTATATGTATTAGTTCATTCTCCCACTGCTATGAAGAAATACCTGAGACTGGGTAATTTATAAAGGAAAGAGGTTTTACTGACTCACAGTTCCACAAGGCTGTGGAGGCCTCAGGAAACTTACAATCATGGTGGAAGGGGAAGCAAACACGTCCTTCTTCACATGGTGGCAGGAGAGAAAAGTGCAGAGTGAAGGAGAAGAAAAGCCCTTTATAAAGCCATCAGATCTCATGAGAACTCACTATCATGAGAACAGCATGGAGGTTAACTGCCCCCATGATTCATTTGTCTCCCACCGGTCCTATGGGAGCTACAATTAAAGATGAGATTTGGGTGGACACAACCAAACCATATCAGTATGCAACTTCTAAGAATTAGGACATTCTTCTACATAACCAGAACAACATTATCACAGTTCATATCATGTTAACAATAATCCATAGTATCATCTAATAGATAGTTCATATTGAAATTTCACTAATCTTTCTTGTCAATAGACTTTTAAAGTGAGGTGAACAGAATTGACAGTGCAAATAATGTGAGGAAGGACTTGAGTATAATGAATACTTTCTAATTTTGTAGTTATAACTGTGAAGCTAAGTGAATGTGGGTGAGATTAACCTAGGAATAAAAGGGGATCAGGTACTTTGGGATGAATAAGGTAGAGACATGTATTCTGTTTCAAATGGGGGTCTATGGGATATTCATATAGTCATATGTAATGAACAATTGAGAGCTCAGGTTTAGAGCTCAAGAAAGAAGTCAGGACCAGACATAGAAGTGTGGGAGCCATCAATACCTAGAAGATAGATGAAAGATGGAAATGGGTAAGCTTACCCAGGGAAAGGGCAAGGAATGAGAAGAGAAAATAATGAATATTTGCTTTTGTAGACTTATAGAAAATACCACACACCTATTGGTTACTTTTATAAGTCAATTTAAATGTATGTACATTTCAGATGTTTTCTGTGATTATTTTGAATTTTGCTCATTCCTATATATTTTTGCTCCTACATAGGATTCCTTTCCTATGATGCCAATCAAACATGCAATCCAGTGGCTTTATCCGTATAGTATTTTACTAGGTCACGAAGGGAAGATGGCTGTGGAAGGTGTTTTAAAGGTGAGTATCTGCTTCCATTTCTTTCCTTTCTTTTCCCATTTTCCCTTCTCTTGCCTTTTCCCATCTTCCCCTCACTCCTTTCCCTACCTTTCCTATTTTTCTCCCCCCATCCTTATTTCTTTCCTTTCTCTTCCCCTCCATTCTTTACTAGGCATGGAGGCATCGGCATTCCAACAAGAAGACAGCTGTGATAAATAGGGCAGCAAACATAGAGGGGGTGATGTGGTTGGGAGATTGGTTGTGTTGAGCAAAGAAGTAAATAGATTGAGCAAATGAATGAATATATTGAGGATAATAAGAGCTATGCTTCTCACTGTTGGATAAGGGATTTATAACTATGGAAAAGGGGAAGGCAAGAAAAAACTCTTAAGGTATTGGATTGGAATTGATGTTATTATGAATCATGGGTTTTTAAAAATAATATATATGAACAGATAGTTACAGATATAGTATGTGTATATGTATACATATACATATTGTCTAGCTGTCTCCTGAGAGAGCCTAAAAACTATGATGTTATAGTAGCAGTGATCACACCAAGTACCTGGACGTTGGTTTCTAAATATCATGCTCTCTCAAAGGATCAGGTTAGGGAATGTAGAAGATGAGCCTGGACCATCTTTTTGTGCCAGAGAGTAAGGAGATATTCAACAAGTGATGTTGATATGTCAAAATGATGGAGTTCCCAGGTTGAAGTGGCTGAAATCTGGGACAATTTGAGCATAAAAATAAATGATGATGGTAATTGGTTTTAACCTGTTGTATAAAATAGGAATCCATGAGTCCATACTGATATGAATGAACAAAAAATATGGAGATGGGCATTCTCTTTTAAAGTGTAAAATGCCTACTTGTGAATCTAGAAGGAATTACATAAATAGAAAAAACACCATTTGGCAACCATCAGAGTGGCAATTAATTTAGACAAGAATCATCAAAGGATGTTAAAGCTGGCAGGTGGAGCTTCTGTGAGGCACAGGGTATTGGCATAATCTCTGAATGTCTCCCTCCAAAAGACTCAGTTGACTACCAAACCAAGAAAGTGGTATTTTTACAGTAAACTTCAACTTGACCAGGTGGGACAAATTGACCTTGTATGCCTCCCAAATTCCCCGTTTCTGGGGAATTTTTGCTGAGAGTTCATGATGTATGTTTGGCCATGAGGAAATATTGTAGAGTTCTAGATTGAGGGCCATTATATAGAACATAGGCCTCTATTCTTTAAAACTGTTCAGACATGAAAGACAGGGAAAAACATAGAAATGTTTCATGCTAAAGGAGACTGAAGAGATTGGATAGCTAAATGCATCATTTGTTCCTGAATTAAATCCTGGACCACTAGAAACAAGTGACAATATTGGCACTGTTCGTAAAACTTGAATAGGGTCTGTGGATTGGATAATAGTGTTATATTAAGTGGATTTCCTCATTTGGAGGCTTATGTGGCAATTACACCGGCCACAGTTCTTGTTTTCAGGAAATATCAACTGAAGTGTTTAGGGGTATGGGGACATCATATCGGCAGCTTGTTCTCAAATTGTTCACATAAAGATCACTGATAAAGTAGGCAGGGGGAGTAGGAGGGAGGGGGAGATGTGCTTAAAAAATGTTAACCATTGAGGGAACTGGGTGAAGGTTATTAACTTGAAAAGCGAGCGTTTTATATAAAACTATGGAACTTGCTATAGAGCTTTCATTTAAACTAATGAAGGTCTCATTTTTTGTCATAAGTGGTTTATAGTACATGGGCATGATTTTCTTTCAAAATACGTGTGGCATAATTTCCTCTTTGTATAGTTAACAGTGGTGTTTCCCAAAAGGCCAATCACACTCTAAAATGTCTTATAACTATATTTTTAAAGTGTTGACCCTTGGTAGAGACTTACTGGCTCACCAAAATTAATTCCTCCTTATGAAAGATGGTTTTTGCTTTTCTTACATGGTTTGGCTCAAGGTGCAGATTTCTAAGAAATAGAATGTGACCACTAAGCTGTGTGGCTTTCTATATGGAAGCTTCAGTTTCTGGAGGCCAGGATTTGACAACTTTAAGCATATGGAATAGTATTTCTCTATCCCTTATCCTCAAATCTACCCAGAATCTTTGGGATACAGAACATCCTCTGTGTATCTATTAATAATGAGAGGACCTTAGAAGAGTGGAACATTGGATTCTAATTACTTAAGTGGGATCTTTTTCAGAGCAGTTAGCCAAAGAATCCAAAGAAACAGTATTTTCATTGACTGGTTATGTCAGTAATAATAATAAAATTATTAGACAGCTGTTCCTAATAGATAATGAGAAGAGAGGTATAGTTAGAGACAGAATCTAAAAGAGAAGCAAAAAGAAGCAAGGGGAAAATAATGGTCAATAAAGAGACAAAGGAGGGAAGAGACAGCAGAGAATGGAAGCAGTGAAATAACCAATGATGAAAGAGAAGAAAGGTAGGGGGTGTGTGTGTGTGTGTGTGTGTGTGTGTGTGTATGAGAGAGAGAGAAAGAGAAAGAGAGAGAGAAAGGGAAAGTAGGAGGAGAAGGAAGAGGAGGAACAGCAGCAGAAAGAGGAGGAGGGTGGATATTAAGAACCATTTGGAAATGGGGAGATTAATTCATAGGCTCAAGGAGTCAGGAAATTACCATCTTCTGACAATATAGTTCACTTCAAGGCTTATTCCAGGTGCTGGGGGAAAAGAGAACTCGAACTTATCTTTGAGCTAATCAACCTCTAAGCTAAATTGGCCATTGGTCATTGAAGTAGAGTACCTAGTGTTTAAGATCAAAGGCGGTGACTCCAGATGAACTTTAATGCCCCTCAGCCCAATGCGCAGTGCCTTGGAAACAAGGGCACATCCTCAGGGAGGAAGAAACTCATGAGAAGTTCTGATAAAATGAAGTTTTTTTGTGAAAAAACTGAGAGAAGATATTCAGTGTCTAAAAAAGTCAGTTACGAACAAAGGTCTTTACCTTAACCAAGAAACCACTTTGATGTGTTTTTTGGTCTGTAATTTCAAAACTAGTCATACAAATTTATTATAAAGTTATAGCATATCTTTAAAGAGTTGAATTTTCTAAAGAAAGTAGCTAGTGTTGCTTCATTTTTTTGTCTTTTAACCATAATTAAGGGGAATGTAGAAAAATGATTGAGTTTATATTAGAACAGAAATGATTTCAAATTTGAATGTGAGTGTTTTGAAAAGGAAAAAGGGATTGGTATTAATTAGATAAGAGGAGACAGAGTATGGCTGCCTTCTCACCTTAATTATGTGAAGAGCTAGTTAATGGACATTTGTAACTCAGTAAACTGTCAAGTGGGAGGGCTTAAGTTCATTTGTCTGATCTTAATGAAGTACTTTCTTTTTGTAAGATCATTGCACAGTGATGTATACAACCAGATTAGCATCTTAAATAGCTTTTCTTAAGAGTGAAAGAGTCAAAAAAAAAAAAAAAAAGGAGTGGAAGAGTCTATTTATTGATATAATTCTTTGTGATCTGTTCTGGGAAGTCTGTGTGGCCTGTTTGTTATTGTAAGTTTCTGCATTTACCTCAAAGCGTTATTTTAAGCAAATATTTATAGATGGGTGAAATATTACATATGCTCAAATAGTTTTGAATTAGAAGAGGTAAAAATTAATAAAATATTGTTAAATTTGGAAAAAATGTTTACATAAGAAATAGAAGTATGTATTATAATGGTAAATTAAGAAGGTATGTATATATACACATTAACTTTTCCTTGATAAATGATAATTATTTTTTATCCTAGATTATAGAAATTAATGTGTAGTTGCATTCGAATTAGATATCCATTTGAATTTTAGTGTAATTACTTAATTAGACTGTATTTTCAAGGAAAAATTGTTAGTCACTGAAAATTCAATCAGATAGAATTCACAACACCTTTCTTTTTTCTGAACAAGCTATAAAAGTGGCTGGAATGAGTTTCATTCCTCAGATGGTGCTCATCATGTGATGTTCATGCTCTAAAAACATGTTTCTGTAGTCATGAAATAATTTCTAGCCTTCAGTTAAGGATGTCTTAAAGAAAACCCTCTTATTCTGAATCTGCTATACTTTGAGAATAGTATGCTTTCTTACAGTTTAGTAACAAATGCATCCAGGCTTCTAGTAACGTGTCTTGGCTCTTGGTCCGTACTTAATTAAGACTGCATCATAACAGTGGTTAAATTGGTAAGTTCCCTTGGTGATTTAGAAAGGATATACTGCCACTTATCCATTGATGATGTAATCTGAGCCGTAGTTTTTTTCTAAGAAACTTGGATCTTACATTTAGTATTTTTATTTAGTTCAACACATGCTCATTGAGCATTCATTTTTTGGCAAATTATGTACGTATAGAAATCTAGTGATACAGAAATGGATACAATCTGATTTCAGCTCCTGAGGAAGTTACAATATTAATGTCTGAGGAGCATCAGATATTTCAATAAATAACTATTTTAGTATGGTGGTTTTTTTGTTTGTTTTTTTAAGCAGTGTAGCATAATGATGACTAGCTCTGGACAAAGCAGTAATGACGTGACATAGGCCAGTGAAATAGGAATTAAACGAATATGAGAAATGTTTCAGAGGAAGGATGATACATGTTACTAACTGATGAAATATGAGGTGGGTTAACAGCTATGAGAGAAAGTGAGAAATCAAAAATGTTAATAAATCGTACCTTGGACATATGAGTAGAGTTGCTGTTAATTAATATGATAAAGTGGGAGAAGGAGCATGTTTGTGGTGGGGGCTAAATAATTCCATATACTAGAACCCTTTTGAATTTGAAGTTTTTCTGGTGGTTTTATCTAGCAGACTTGAAAATATGGACCTGGTTCTAGAGGTATTTTGATATTAAAGATAAATACTTGGAACCCATTGATATGTGGGTGTTAGTTGAATTCATGGGGATGGATGTAACAACTTAAAGAATGCAAGTATACTGAGAGGAAAAATCTGTCTGCAGATTGAACATTTCAGGATTGGATCAGTAGGGAAAGAACCTTCAAACTGGGCAGAGGAAGAGTGGTTAGAGATAGAAGCAGAATGGCGGAGAGTATTCTTAGGGAGCATTGGGAGCAACTGTTTCAGATGCTGCAAAGATGCCTTGTTGAATGAAGACTTACAACATTTACTCAAAAAAGATTATTCATTCCGTCCATCCTTCCATCCAATCAATTAGCCAGGCACTATTGTGCTGGAGATGTATGCAACATGGAAGTTTCTACCTTCATGGAGCTTATTTTTCTGTGAAGGGCGACTATCAGTCAAGTAAGTAAGTAAGTATATAATATGTCAGTTGAGGAATGGATGCTGTCACTGAGAAGATGACATTTGAATAAAGATCTGAAGGAGAGAAGTTCTGTGGGTAAAAAGTATTTCAGACAGAAGGGATAACCAGTATAAAAATGCTGAGGCAGGAGCACACCTGGGAACTGTAGGAACAGTAAAGGACAGTGTACTGGGGCAGAGTGAGTGAAGAAGAGGTGATTAGGAGAGAAATCAGAAGGTAAATAAAGTCAGATCATGTAGGACTCTGTAATCCATGGAAAGGACTTCTGCTTTCAGTCTGAGTGCAGTGGAACACCATGTGAGGGTTTTGAGGAATGTGTTATATGAGTGATCATTTTAACAGGTTGGTTGCTGAGTAGTGAATAGACTGTGAAGGGTATGAATGAAAACAGGGGAAAAAACAGTTGGTAGACTGTTGTAGTAATCCAGTTGAGACAGTATTGTACCTTTGACCAGCTGTGATGTTGGTAAGAAGTAGTTGGTTTTGGGTTATGTTTTGAAGGTAGAATCATGATTTGCTGAAGGGTTGGATGTAGGCTTGATACAGAGTTAAGGATGATTTCAAGCTTTTGGACTGAGAAATGTGAATGATGAAGTTGGAGATAGAGAATATGGAGGTGGAGGGAATATCAGACCAGAGCACTGGACATATTTGATTTAACATGCCTATTAGCCAAATGGAAATGTCAAAGAGGCAGTTGCATATACAAGTCAAGATTTCAGGAGAGAGATCTGGATCAGAGAGAGAAAATTGGGGTCATGATGGTTTGTAAAGTCATGCAAGTGATGAGCTTATTTAAAAAGTGAATGTAGATAGAAAATAAAAAGTTCCACTCCTGAAGTACCTTACTGTGTACTGGTCAAGAAGAAGAAGAAGAACCTGCAAAAAAGACTGAGAAGGAAACAGCAAAATAGGAATAAAACTAATTTATTTAATTTGGTAAATAGGATATCATTGATGAACTCACCAAGATCAGTGTTAGTAGAGCGATGGGAACGTAAGCCAAAAATCAAGGGGCTTACATTTGAAATTGGAGATGAAACCAAACCAGTGATTATATATTCATATGTGTCAACCAAGTTTGATGGTGAACAAAAGCCAAAAGGTGATAGATCACTTAAAGATGAGGTATAATTAAGAAATGACTGTTTCTTGAAATGGGGGAGGCAAACATTTTTATAGGCAGAAGGGACAAAAAATGTGGAGTACATGAAAAATGTGGCCTAGCTAAGGTGGAAAAGGACATTTTCAGAGCACCCTTGTGTGTTGGTTTGAAATGATGGAAGAACATGCTTTCCACTCAGGAACTGGAATGATGGAGCTGCCATAATCTGACGTAGAAAGACTTCTAGGGGTTTCTGTCTACTCATAGTTAAAGCAGAAGTCCTTTCTACTGAAACAGTGGGTGCAGTAACAAGAATTGATGAAAACATCAATGATTTTGAGGATGAAGGAAAAATAATTTTGTTTGTTCATTGAACAAGCCGTTATTGACCATTGACTATGTCCCATGTGTGATTCTAGGTTCTGGAAATTTAGAGTGAGCCAAATAGATACATTTAATACTGCCCTAATGGGGCTTATGTTCTAGTAAAGTATGGGGGAGTATGTGTCTGTAAGCTCTGTTCTGAGTGGAGGAGGCAGCTAGATTGCCTCATGACAGGGTGATAAATGGGCTCAGATTGACTTCTGAGGAGAGTAGTAATGGTTTGTATTTGTTGCTGTGGGGCTATGAGAAAAGAACCCAGGAGAGACTGTGGCCACATATTTGTTCAGGCAATATAGTTTGCAGAATTTCACTTTTAGTGCTTAATAATCTAGAAAAAGGTATGAAGAAAGTAGATGGCCTGATGGGACAGGATTGGGAATTGTAAGGATGAATATGGAAGCCCGACAGACCAGTATCCAATGTGATTTATATTTCATTTTATTTAATTATAATTCACAGTTTAAATAACCTAATTCTAAAGAAAGTGTATTAGAAAATGTTAGTACTGTTTAATTGAAATTCAAGAATTCATAGGAAATGCTCATAAAGTGGTAAGTTAACAAACTCTTATTTTCTACTTCTTGCTAGGAAGTAACCTGAAATAATTATATGTCTATTGTCGTTCTGACCAGCTGTGATGTTGATAAGAAGTAGTTGGATTTGAAGGTAGAATCATTATGATTCGCTGAAGGGTTGGATGCAGGGTTGAGACAGAGTTAAGGGTGATGATTTCAAGCTTTTGGACTGAGAAACTTAAATGATGAAGTTGGAGATACAGAATATGGGGGTACCTTTCTGATTAATACCTTTCTGATTAATGATCCTCTAAATTTTCTATGCCAGAAAATGATAATTCACCTTGCAATTTGAAGTTTTTACCATCTTAGTGTATTCTGGCCTACTATTTTTATTTTACTGAAGTATTTTAGCTTGAATTATTTATGAGGACATAACCAGTATGGCAAGTGGCTCAGGACATTAGTGTTTATTTCTGGAATATGAGTCCTCTGACATCAATCCTGTATCAAATTAGATTGACACTACTCTAGCTGTGGTGAAGACATACATTTAAGCTCATTTATTTGTTTTCCTAGAATTTAATGAATCTTGGTTCTACATTTTTTTTTTTTTTGAGACAGAGTCTCGCTCTGTCACCAAGCAGAGTATAGTGGCATGTCTTGGCTCACTGCAACCTCCTCTTCCCGGGTTCAAGCAATTCTCCTGACCCAGTCTCCTGAGTAGCTGGGATTACAGGCAGCTGCCACCACGCCCGGCTAATTTTTGTATTTTTAGTAGAGACGGGGTTTCACCATGTTGGCCAGGCTGGTCTTGAACTCCTGACCTCAGGTGATCCACCCATCTCTGCCTCCCAAAGTGCTGGGATTACATGCATGAGCCTTTGCGCCCAGCCATTTGTTCTACATTCTAATGAATTTAATTACTTGGTTAGGTCTTGCTCCTTTCCTATTGAGTCCTCCTTAAAATACAGTGGAACTTTTTTTTTTCCATGAAATTAAGGTGTCAATAATTGTTATTTGTCTACAATATGGAAGCAATTCTTGTCAAATTATGTGATACTGTGGGGATTTGCATATATAAATTGTATGAAATATAGAACTTTTTAATGGTAGTACAAATATACAGGTTTTTTTTAGGTTTGGGGAAAGGAGTTAGTGATTGTCTTGAGTACTTATGACATCAAAATGAACACTTGAACTGGGCTGTTATGTTTAGAATGTTGAGGTTAAACATGATTTCCTTCCTCCCAAATCTATTTTCTGGAGTTCTTTCATTCTGCTGAATACATGATGATCTGTTCTTTCTTTGAGTTTCAACTCTTTCACTATAGTAATAACGTTCCAAAACTAGTGTAGGATTTTTGGGGTTAATTTCTGCCTATTTAATAGTAAAAATAAATTCAGTTTTTTATATTGAGCAAGCTGTAATAAGTAGGGCATCGAACTTAATTTTCAATTTATTTTCATCTTTCACATATTTATCTGTATTCTTTCTGTGCAGTTTTGATATAACTAGCTGGAATGAAGTGGTATAGTCAGTGTTAGAACATTGGTAATTGGGCCATATCAAGAATCAATGGTTCTAGCCTTTGTTTGTTTGTTTGTTTGTTTGTTTGAGACGGAGTTTTTGCTCTGTCGCCCAGGCTGGAGTGCAGTGGCGCAGTCTCAGCTCACGGCAACCTCCGTCTCTGGGTTCAAGGGATTCTCGTGCTTCAGCCTCCCAAGTCGCTGGGACTACAGGTGTGCACCACCATGCCCGGCTAATTTTTGTATTTTTAGTAGACAGGGTTTCACCATGTTGACCAGGCTCATCCTGACCTCAGGTGATCCGCTTGCCTTGGCGTCCCAGAGTGCTGGGATTACAGGCATGAGCCACTGTGCCTGGTGGTTCTAGCCTTTTAAATCCAGTTCAACAAATATTGAGACCCCACCGTGTGGAAAGCACCATACCATATGCTGTGGAAAATTGTTATAATAATTTTAGTTAAGCTGTTCACATAGCTGACAGCAGAATGATGTCCAGGAAGTTCTGTTTTCATGGATTTCAGGTAACACATTAACTTTGATTGATTTAAAGAACAAACCATTATGGGCCTTGTTTTATTTCAGCATGTTTTGAAGGGTCTCATCATCTCTTTCTAGGAAGTTGATTATCAAGAGATGTAAGCTATGAACTTTCACCAGGAATTCAGTGATTCCATTTCTTGTCATATAGTAAATTTTAGGGACTATTTTTATATCATCTTTAATAATTGTTGTAAGTAGAATGGTGTTAGTAGGAATAGAAAAGAATTCTCATTAACTTTTTTTAACCTCTACTTTTATATAATAATATAAAATGGATTTTGGTTGTAATTAAGGTGTAATCTTTCAGATAGCCAACGTTAATGCTACAATGAAAAGTAAATTGCATGATTTTCTTGTAATTTTACAGCGCTTTGAACTTCAAGATTCAGGAAGCTCTCTGCTTCCTAAAGAGATTGTAAGAGTAGAGAAGATGATGGAAAACCATGTGTCCCAAGCTTCTGTGACCATCCGGATTGCAGATAAAGAGGTGACCATTAAGGTAATTAATCACAGGTTTATTCTTTCTAAGATATGCCTTATTCTGCTGTTTTTAATGACCTAAATTAGGTTTATGATCTCCTTATAAGTCTTTCTTGATAGTGCTGCTTCTGTCTGTATCTGTATATCTATGTCTCCAGAGTCATGTGTGCTTACAAACTGGAAAAATTCAGGAGAAACAGGGAAAGCCTTTCATCAAAAATTCAAAGTTGACCTCTGGGAAAATCAAGTCATGGGTTGATTATTGACAGCATTTTGTACTATGAGTCCTTGGTAAGAAATAGTGTTTTCAAACATTTGAGCTGCTACAGAGCCCTGTTGTCAAGTAAAATCTTTCTTAGCTATGTGAAACAGTTTAAAAAGGATCTACTCGGTTGAATGGTTTTTAGAAGAGGGAAATAATATTTGGTCATAGAGCTCTATCTGCATGTATATATGTTTTATATATATCAACTCCTTCTATATATATCTCTATGTATATATATACACACATATTTTATGGAGTCTTACTATATTGCCCAGGCTTGTTTTGAATTCCTGAGCTCAAACAATACTCCTGCCTTAGCCTCCTGAGTAGCTGGGACTACAGGCACATGCCACTGTGCCCAGCTCATGATAAACTTTTTTGTTTTAATATTTGATATTATTAATATCAATTCATGTTACTGTACTTATTCATTGAACTGAATATTGATTATATCTACCATGAGCTAGGTTCCATATTATGAGTTTACTGTATACTAGTTACTGTATTTGTCTCTTTGCATATATTATGCGATTTAAATCCCCCAAGATCCATTAAGGTAAGTTTTATTATCTCCATTTTGTAGATTAGAAAACTGAGATATAAAGAGGTTAATTGATTCACCCAGAGACACCAGCTAGGAGATGGCACAGCTGGGATTTCTAGACAGCGAGAGTTGCCCACTCTACTCTGTTTTCTTCAGATGAATGGCTCATCTAGCTGATGGTTTAGGATAGAGGCAGATGAGTTAAGACTGCATTGGAATGGCTCGGGATATGGAGAAGGAAGTAATACTGGGATTCAGGAGACGGAATAGGGAAAGCTTCAGAGTGAAGGTGAAGCTTGATCTAAGTCTGCAAGAATAACACAGGATTTTTCCAGTGGCTGAGGAGTGGATAGGACATTTTTGGCAGTTTAAACAATATGTTCAGAAGCATGAAGTATGAAAAAGACTTCATTATTTGCTTCCCTTTGGTTATGGCTTTTAACCTCATTGCCTCTAGTCTCTTCCAGTTAGCTTTCCATGTTGATACCAGGATAAATTCTCAAATGCAAATCTGATCCTGTCACTTCCAAACTTACAATTCTTTGGTTCATGTGATATATAATATGATCCAACCCAGAGTCCTCAGCAGAGCATGGCTCCTCGGGAACTAATAGGCAGGATAAAAAAAAAAGGGGGAGAAGACAAAAAATAAAAGGAGAAGTAGGTGTAAAAGATGGGAAGAGAGACTCTGTGAACAGATGCCTCTCAGTGGTAAACTAAGATAAACCTGAAAAGGATTTGTGGACTTGACTTTTAGAAATCAGGAGGTCATTGGTGACTTTAGAGATTCCGATGGACTAATATTAATTCTGTGCTTACAACTAGAATGTGGGGAAAAATTTATTCTCCAGTAGTAACATCTTTACTATAAGTTATAAATAACATTAAGATGACATGATTTTTATGAATATGTCTGACAGTGTGGGACTTTAATTTTAGAGAAATAATTGATTTGGAAGTTTTGTAATAATGATCATCAGGTCTGTTAAATGAAAAAATAGTTGCTGCTCTATTGAAATATCAAAAACAGTAAAGAACTAAATTGAGCAAGCTGTTAGTTGGAGGCTTTTAAGTGGCAGTTATATGCTTTAAGTTACTGATATTTTGAGAAAAACATATGCATGTTTTACACACACATACACACACAAATATATATACATACACACACACACACACACATATATATATATTTGTTTTTTGTTTTTTGAGACAGAATCTCTGTTGCCCAGGTCAGAGTGCAGTGGCGCAATCTCGGCCCACTGCAACCTCTGCTTCCTGGGTTCCAGCGATTCTCCTACCTCAGCCCCCTGAGTAGTTGGGATCACAGGTGCGTGCCACCATGCCCAGCTAATTTTTTTTTTGTATTTTGGTAGAGATGGGGTTTCACCATATTGGCCAGGCTAGTCTCGAACTACTGACCTCAAGTGATCCGCCCGCCTTGGCCTCCCAAAGTGTTGGGATTACAGGCATGAGCCACCATGCCCGGCCATGTTATATTGACCTCTCTTTAATTATAGGTGCCAGCTGGGACCAGGCCATTAAGTCAACCTTGTGCATCAGACCGTTTCATACAGACTTTGAGCCATAAGCAGCTACAGGCTGAAATGATGCAGTCTCACATGGTTAAGGATATATGTTTAATTGGAGGAAAGGTAAGAATGACAGTCTCACTGCAGACTTTTAGTTTCCTGGCTTTTGGTTATTTTGACTTACCCACAATGAATAATTGTGTTTCCATTTGTAGGGCTGTGGAAAAACAGTGATCGCCAAGAACTTTGCTGATACCTTAGGATACAACATAGAACCTATTATGCTCTATCAGGTACAGTGTTCATTTTTAGCTGCACTTGGACTATAAGCATATATCCTTAGCCCATCGGCAGAATTTATGGATATCTTCTTGTTATGACTCTTTTTTTAATGTAGGTAAAGAACCAAAATAGTAATCAAATTATTCCAAGTAAAGTGCAATTATAATTATTTGGAGCTTTTGAAAGTACATTCTAGGATATTTGATGTGCACAACATATCAGGGGCTGTTTTTCAGAGAGATTTATTTTCCGGAGACCTGGAAGGGTAGGGGGAAAGGAGGGGTGAAGAGAGGTTGATTAATAGTTATAAAAATACAGGTAGGTGGGAGAAATAAGATCTAGTGTTTGATAAATAAGTAGAATGACTACACTAGACAATAATCTATTGTATATTTTAAAATAGCTAGTAGTTAATAATTCAAATGTTCCAGCATAAAGAAAAGATAAATGTATGAGATAATCGACACCTTAATTACCCTAATTTTTTATTTCACATTATATGAATGTATCAAAATATCACATATACTCTGAAAATGTGTACATATATTATGTGTCAATTAAAAAGTGAGATTCATTTTATGTGCATGTCCCCACACAGAATACATTTACTGGTAATTTGGAAATCGAAACAAAATAGGTTTCAGCTGCAGTGGGAGCTAATTATGTACTCACTGAATAGATTATTTTTTAAATGGTGACAAAATATGTATAACATAAACTTTACCACATTAGCCTTTTTTTTTTTTTTTTGAGATGGAGTTTCGGCCTTTTGCCCAGGCTGGAGTGCAATGGCACAATCTCGGCTCTCTGCACTCTCCGCCCACCCCGGGTTCAAGTGATTCTCCTGCCTCAGCCTCCTGAGTAGCTGGGATTACAGGCACCCGCCACCATGACTGGCTAATTTTTTTTGTATTTTAGTAGAGACAGGGTTTCGCCATGTACAATTCACTGGCAGTAAGTACATTCACAATGTTGTGTAACCATTACCACTTCCTTTTTCCAGAACTTTTTCATTATCCTAAACAAAAACTCTGTACTTGTTAAACAGTAGCTCTCAGTTTTTCTTTCCCTCTCAGACCCTGGTAAACTCTACTTTCTGTCCCTATAAATTTGCCTATTCTAGGTACCTCATATAAATGGAATCATAATTTTTGTCCTTCTTGTTTAGTTTATTTTACTTATCGTAATGTTTTCAAGGTTTATCTGTGTTGTTGCGTATATCAGAATTTCATCCCTTATTAGGGCAGAGTCATATTCTGTTGTATGTCTATACCACTCTTTGTTTCTCCATTGGTCTGTTGATGGACACTTGGGGTTGTTTCCTTTACACTATTGTAACCTTTTGGCTATAGTAATTCTGCTGTGAACAGTGGTGTACAAGTAGGTATTTGAGTCCCTGCTTTCAGTTTTTTAAGGTATATACCTAGGAATGGAATTATTGGATCATATGATAATTCTGTGTTTAATTTTTTAAGGAGCCAATAAACTATTTTCCATAGCAGCTACACCATTTTCATTCCCACCAACAATGCACAATGGTTTCAATTATTCTACATTCTCCCTAACACTTTTTTTTCTTTTTTCCTTTTTTTTTTAAGTCATTATCCTAATGGCTGTGAAGTGGTAATTCACTGTGGTTTTGATTTGCAGCTCTCTAATGACTACTGATGCTAAGCATCTTTTTCATGTACTTACTGGCTATTTGTATATCTTCTTTGGAGAAATACCTATTTGAAACTCTTACCCATGTCTAACTTATTTATTTTTTTCTCTTGATTTTTATTTTAGATTTGGGGGTACATGGGCAGGTCACAATTTACATGGGTAAATTGTATGTCACTGAGGTTTGGTGTATAAATGATCCCGTCACCCAGGCAGTGAACATAGTATCTGATAGTTTTTCAATGCACAGCCCCCTCTCAAGTAGTCCCTATTGTCTGTTGTTCCCATCTTTATGTCCATGTGTACTCAATGTTTAGCTCCCACTTATGAGAACATGCAGCTTTGACTTTTTGTTCTTGTGTTAGTTCACATAGGATAATGTCCTCTAGCTACTTCCATGTTGCTGCAAAGGACATGATTTTGTTCCTTTTTATGGCTGCATGGTTTTCCATGGAGTATCTATGCCACATTTTCTTCATCTAGTCCACTGTTGGTGGGCACCTAGGCTGATTCCATGTCTTTGCTGTTGTATATAGTGTTTGTATTAGTCAGAGTTCCGTAGAGGGACAGAACTAATAGGATACACACACACACACACACACACACACACAAATAGGAGATATATATATATATAAAAAAGTGTGTATAGATATACACACACACTAATAATAGATATACACACACACATATATATACACATACATCTATATATACACACACACACATACATATATATATATGAAGAGGAGTTTATTAAGTACTAACTTGCACCATTACAAGGTCCCACAATAGGCTGTCTGCAAGCTTGAGGAGCAAGGAGAGCCAGTCTGAGTCTCAAAACTGAAGAATTTGGACTCTGATGTTTGAGGGCAGGAAGCATCCAACACGCGAGAAAGATGTAGGCTGGGAGGCTAGACCCATCTTGCCTTTTCATGTTTTTCTGCCTGCTTTATATTCGCTGGCAGCTGGTTAGATGGTGCCCATCAGATTAAGGGTGGGTCTGCCTTCCCCAGCCCACTGACTCAGATGTTTTATCTCCTTTGGTAACACCCTCACAGATGCACCCAGGATCAATACTTTGCATCCTTCAATCTAATCAAGTTGACACTCAGTATTAACCATTACAGTGCTGCAATGAACATATGTGTAGAACAATTTATTTTCATTTAGTGTATAATTAGTAAGGGGATTGCTAGGTCAAATGGTTGTTCTGTTTTAAGTTCTTTGAGGAGTCTCCAAACTGCTTTCCACAGTGGCTGAACTAATTTACATAGCTGCCAGCATTGGGTGAGTGTTCCCTTTTCTCCACAACCTCGCCAATATCTGTTATTTTTTGACTTTTTAATAATAGCTGTTCTGACTGGTGTGAGACGGTATTCATTGTGATTTTGATTTGCATTTCTCTAATGATAGTGTTGATGAGCCTTTTTAAAATATATTTGTTGGCTGCATGTATGTCTTCTTTTGAGAAATGTCTGTTCTTGCCCTTTGCCAATTTTTTAAATGGGGTTGTTTTTTCTTTGTTGAATTGTTCTTTTTGTTATTAGACCCTTGTCATATGCATGTTTGTGAATATTTTCTCCCATTCTGGAGGTTGTCTGCTTACTTTGCTGATAGTTTCTTTGGCTGTTCAGAAGCTTTTTAGTTTAATTAGGTCTCACTTGTCAATTTTTGGTTTTGTTGCAAGTTCTTTTGTGGTCTTAGTCATAAATTCTTTGCCAAGGCCCATATTCAGAATAGTATGTCAGAGTAGATTTTCTTCTAGGTTTTTATAGTTTTAGGTCTTAGATTTAAGTCTTTAACCTATTTTGAAGTAATTTTTGTATATGGTAAAAGGATCAGGTCCAGTTTCAATCCTGTGCCTATGGCTAGCCAGTTATCCCAGCACCATTTATTGAATAGGGAGTCCTTGCCCTGTTGTGTGTTCTTGTTGACTCTGTCAAAGATCTGGTGGTTGTAGGTATGTGGCTTTATTTCTGGGATCCCCTTCCCATTTCATTGGTCTAGGTATCTGTTTTCGTACCAGTATCATGCTGCTTTGGTTACTGTGGCTTTGTAATATAGTTTGAAGGCAGGTAGCATGATGCCTCAGGTTTTGTTGTTTTTGCTAAGGATTGCATTGGCGATTCAGGCTGTTTTTTGAATCTATGTGAATTTTAGAATAGTTTTTTCTAATTCTGTGAAAAATGATGTTGGTAGTTTGATAGGAATAGCATTTAATCCGTAAATTGCTTTGGGCAGTATGGCCATTTTAACAACTGTAATTCTCAGGAGCACAGCATTTTTTTTCACTTGTTTGTTTAATCTCTGATTTCTTTCAGCAGTGTTTTGTAGTTCTTGTTGTAGAGAAAAGATCTTTTACTTTCTTGGGTAGCTGTATTCCTAGGTATTTTATTCTTTCTGTGGCTGTTGTAAATGGGATTGTGTTCTTGATTTGGCTTTCAGTTTGGATGTTATTGGTGTATACAAATGCTACTGATTTTTGTACCTTGACTTTGTATCCTGAAACTTTACGGTAGTCACTTAGTACTTTTAGGAGCCTTTTGGTGGAGTCTATAGGGTTTTTTAGGCATAGAATCATATAATCTGTAAAGAGAGATAGCTTGGCTTCCCCTTTTCCTATTTTTATTTCTTGGTCTTGCCTGATTGCTCTGGCTAGGACTTCTAGTACTATGTTGAATAGGAATGGTGAGAGTGGACATCCTTGTCTTATTCCAGTTGTTAAAGAGAATGCTTCTAGCATTTTCCTGTTCAGTACGATGTGGGCTGTGGTCCTTACTCATGTTTTAATTGATTTTTTATTTTTTTTAATGGACTTTTTGTTGTTGAGTTGTAGGAATGTTTTAATGTATTCTGGGTATAGAATTCGTTCTCCACATATATGATTTTCTTTTTTTGAGATAGAGTCTCGCACTGTCACCTGGGCTGGTGTGCAATGGTGCAGTCTTGGCTCACTGCAACCTGCGCCTCCCAGGTTCATGTGATTCTCCTGCCTCAGCCTCCTGAGTAGCTGGGATTACAATTGCACATCACTACACCTGGCTAATTTTTTGTATTTTTAGTAGAGACAGGGTTTCACTATGGTGGCCAGGCTGGTCTCGAACTCCTGACCTTGTGATCCGCACCCCGTGGCCTCCCAAAATGCTGGGATTACAGGTGTGAGCCACCCCACCCGGCCATGATTTTCAAACATTTTAATTCCTTCTGTGGGTTTTCTTTTTACCATTTTAATAATAGGATTTTATACATCTTTTGATGTACAAAATGTTTAAATTTTGTTGAAGTCCAATTTATCATTTTTCTTTTGTTACCTGTGTTGTTGGTGTTATAATTAAGGAATCATCGTAAC